GTTCCATTTGTATGTTCTAAGGTATTTGCTGTTCGGATCAGGTTGTAATATTAAGCTTACTGACCCCTGTTCGTTAAAGGTTAAACAAGCTCAGGGGTCTTGTGGATGGCAGGAAGACCAAGCGGCCCCACCCATTTTCCCCCGAGGTGACGTTACAAGGGCTGAGGGTTCTGAGAGTGGAGGATTGATTGGCTGACTGCCTGGTGGCTGCGGTGGGTCTCTTGCAGGTCACTGGGCTGGACACGCGCCCCTTCCAGCTCACTGTGGAGAAGCTGGAGCTGGCCCTGCAGAGAGCTAAATCTGAGGTCTGTGGTTCCTCTCCAAGCCAGGGCTGGGAGTGTGTGTGTGGGGAGGGGGTCCCCACAGGGCATGCACCCCTCTTCCTGTGTGTTGCTGATCTCCTGGGAGCCGGGGCGGTGGCCTGTGATGGGGGACACATTGGTGGAGGAGTAGGAAAGACCCTCGAACCTCAGCGTCCAGAATCCCCTGGGGCTTCGTTCAAAACGCTCCGCCCCCTCGCGCTCCGACTGGGCTCCAGGGCTCAAGTGTGGAGTGAGGCAGGCTGGGGCTTAGCTTAGGGTCTCCCTGGCAATTTGAGAGGCGGTCCTGCCCACTTGAAGGGGGCCTGAGGTCTCCCAAAGAAAGGCAGACACTCATGCTATGAGGACTCGTGTCCAGGCCCCCCCATCGGTCTGAGTGGTTTATTCCAACGTGGCGGCTCCAGCCGGTAGGATTGGAGAGCTCAGAGCCCCACCCACCATCTTCGGACACTGGCCGTGCCCGGTGGCCCTTGGGCGTGGGTTTTCTTCTGGCAGGCACAGTGCTGGCGGTGGAAGCCTATGTCCTGCTTATTTGCTTCCTGGGGGTGGTGAATGTGTACCCCACATTGTCCCGGGGAGCCACCCGGTGCTGCGCTCTGCCTCGGAGAGGAGCTGAGGTTTCCAGCCCGAGGATGATTTCAGAGCGTGAAGGTCAAAGGCCTCAGCCTTATCAACCCCCAGAGCCCTCTGGGCCACCTCTACTCCCCCAAAGAGCTGCAGGAGTTCCTGGGCTTTGCCCAGAGGTGAGTAGCCCAGGCCCCAAAACAGCAGGTGAGCAGCTTGGGGCTCTCATAGGGGCTTTGGTACCAGCAGCCCTTGAATCCTCCTCACCCCATTCAGCAGCCTTGGCCTGTTTCTGGCAGTGGGGCAGGAAGTCAGGATTTGTGAGTTGCCGTTTGTCTTTTTCGCTCACTTCCATTTTATAACAACCGCGGTCTTTTTTGTTTGTTAGTTTGTTTTGTTTATTTGAGACAAGGTCTCACTTTGTAGCTCAGGCTAGCCTTGCACTCATTATGTAGCCCCGGCTGGCCTTGAACTTGCAGTGATCCTCCTGCCTCAGCCTCCTGAGTGCTGGGGGTCTCAGGGATGTGCCACTACGCCAAGCAAGCAGCGATCATTGATTGCACACTCTGGGGCCCGGTGCCATGCTCAACACTATATGCTCCAGGTCTTGCCCTCCTCCAGCCACCCCTTGTGTAGACACCGTTACTACTTCCGTGGATGGAGCCTTAGAGTAGTCAAGTCAGGGCTGGAAGTGGAACTGGACTCGAACCCTGGTCCTTGTGACTTGAGCCCTGATTCTTAAATGTGCCCTCTCCACACAGCCCTTCAGAAGCTCCACTGTCACCTGCTTTGCATGTGCGGCTTTCTATTTTGTTTGCAAAAGTAAGGTAAAGAAGGGTGTTCCTGGCAAACGCAAGTGTGGTCACTCACCCTGGGCCAGACGGTGGCCCCTTGGGGTTCCTGACACACTGCTCCCCCGTGCTGTCCCACCCCGGGGCAGCCGTGTGTCCCGAGATCACGCCCCCTCCCCACCGCCCAGCCCAGGCACAAGCTGCATGTGGTCGTGGACAGCTCTACAGGCAGTGTGTGTTCAAGTCGCTGGGGTAGCGCAGGGTCCTGGGCCTGGAGAGGTGAGGCTGCAGTCCCGGGGAGCCTGAGCCGGGGCACAGTCTCTAACTTCCAGCTGGCCCCACTGGACCTCGGGCGTCCCAAGGACGTTCAGGTGATTCTGGGGAGTGCCTGAGAACCCGAGGAGGGACCCCAGGAGTCCTTGAGGGAGGGAGGCTAGGGGCTGGGTGAGAAACTGTCTTCCTGCGCTGTTCCCTTCATCTTCAGAGTGCCTTCAGTTTCTTTCCTTCACTCTCTTGCTCATTCACTTAGCAGGTAATTATGGAGCTCCTTGCACCTGCCAAGCACTTCTGGCTATTGATGCTGTCAGCTTTGAGTCTGGGCAGGCTGGCGCACTCTTGTAATCCCAGCACTCTGAGAGGCTGAGGCGGGAGGATTGCAAGTTCAAGTCCAGCTTGGACAACTTTACCCTGTCTCAGAAAGGGGGACTGCATTTGCTGGGGGCATAGTTCAGTGCAAAGGCCCTAGAGTCAATTCCTAGGATTGTAAAAACAAAACAAAAAAACCAGGTTTTATATTAGATCGAGTTTAAGCTCAGAATGTGTCATGGAAGCACCTTTGGAAATGTTGGGGCAGATCACTGGTGAGCTGTGTACGTTTGACCTACGGTCACCTGCTGTGTGCTTTCTGTTGGCTCTGTCCTCCAGCCTCCCAAAGCTCTGTAGGGTAGGTGGCTTGTGGAGTGTCTCTGCCGTTTACTTTGTGCATTAGGCAAGTGGGACAGAGAGGAAGTAGTGACTTGTCCGTGATCCGTGGTTAGCAGTCATGGAAACTTACTGACTGAGCATGTCTTCTATGGCAGGCAGTGCGCCAGGTGCAGGGGGACACAATAGTGAGGAGGAAAGATAGAGGCCTTTAGAGGAGAGGTTTATTTTTGGCTCACATATCAGTCCATAGTCGGCTGGCTCCTTGGCAGGGTGGCAGGGCAGAGGGTCCTGGCCGAGGAGAGCTGCTCAGGGCATGGCGGATGGGAAGTGGAGAGAGCGGGTGGAGGAGGGAGACAAAGCCTGCCAGGCCAGGTCCCAAGGCTGAGCCTTTTCCAGTCAGGCCCGCCTCCTAGGAACATCTAGCCTTGGTGCAGCCACCTTCTTTCAGTCACTTTTCAAAAGCCCTGCCCGGGGCGGGGGGTGTAGCTCAGCGGTACAAGCACCACCCTGGCAAGCACAAGGCCCAGAGTTTAATTCTCAGTACCAAAAAAAAAAAAAAGCCCTGCCAATGGGCACATCTGGATGTAAATCGTAACAGGGACCCTCACTGACAGACATGGTCTTCTGGGACGGGTCAGGGAGGTCTTTGCAAGAAGTGACACGGGCTGTGTTGTAGATCAGAGGATAGAAACTGTATAAAGGGCAGAGGGTACGAATTTCAGCCTTTACCACACGGTCTGTCACTCCCCTCTGTCATAGATGCGATGCAGCACAGGTGTGTGCTGGTGAAACTTTATTTATAAAAGCAGGCAGCAGACTGGATGCCGTCGGGGGCCCTTGTTTGCTGCCTCCTGCTCCTAAGGATCCGTGGGGTTTGGTTGCTACAAGACGTGGGGCCGGGGCTTGAGCCAGACCGACTCACCCACCCATCTCATGGCTGAAGCCATCGTGTGTGTGTGTGTGTGTGTGTGTGTGTGTGTGTGCGCGCGCGTGCGCACACGTGTTCTCTCGGTTGCGTGGTGCTTCTGTCCCACGCTGTGCTCTTTCTTTACAGCCTGCCTGACCCCCAGAAGACCGACGTGATGTGGGCCACCAGCAGGGTGAGTCCTGGCTGGGAGTGTTCTGGACAGGGGGTGCAGGCACGGGTGGAACCAGCTTCCTCGGAGGACGGCTGGCCACGGCCTCGGCACTTCCTCTTGCAGGACTTTGGGATGTCTGAGCTCTGCTCGGCACGCTGTACACGGAGAACCGGGGTGTGGCCGCTGCCGTGGCTTCCCTCTGCCGTTCTCACGGCCTCAGCGGCCTGCTGCAGTTCCAGGTGGCCCGGCTGCTCTGGACCGAGGTGACTGCCTGGGACTGGGCCCTGAAGGAGCAGATCGGGAGCGGTCGGTCTGGGACCAGGGATGAGGGTGCTTCTCCCAGGAGAAGACTCTAGGTGGGTGTCTCAGACTGGTCCATACTCTACCTGGTCACTTCCTGGCTGTGTAGGACGTAACTTCACCTCCCTGTGCCTCAGTTTCCTCGTGTGTAAAACAGATAATGGTGCCTGTCTTGTAGGGTGAGTGGGATTTGTAATTCAGTTAGAACAGCACCTGCTGAAGAATAGCACAGGCTGAGTGCCAGCAGTACTGGCTACTTGGGAGGCTGAGACAGGAGGATTGCTTGAGCCCAGGGGTTTCCAGGACAGCCTGAGAAACATAGCATGATTCCGTTTAAAGAAAAAAGGAAAGGAAAATGCAAACTCATGATTAGCTGTGAGTACTTCAAGAGAAGAGCAAATGCCACCAAGAGAACATGATGGGTGGCGGTCTCCCGCTGCAGGTCTGTTCCGCTCCCAGGTGCAGATAGTGCGTTTCGGTGGCAGAGCTTGCGGTTGTCACCAGCGTTCATTCAGCCTTGCAGCTGCTCTGTGGAATCATCACTTCGACCCCTAGGATGCTAGGAAGCACGATTTTCTGTATCCCCCATGATTTTACAAATGAGGAGCACGACCAGATGCACCCCCACTACGCTAGCTAAAGGTTATTTTCAAAAAAAAAGAAGAAGTTATCAAGTGTTTCCAAGAAGGAGGAGCAGCAGGAACTCTCCCATCCCTGGTGCAAATGGAAGATGATTCAGCCACTCTGCAAAACAAGCCAAGTTAAATACACACTTAGCAAGCAAGCCTCAGCCCCACCCCTAGATACTGACCCCGGTGGTCCCATAAGAACTTCCCATGGGCTGGGTGTGGTGGTGCACACCTGTCGTCCCAGCCCTTGGGAGGCTGAGGCAGGAGGATTAAGAGTTGGAGGCCGTCCTGGTGAGACCCTGTCTCCAAAAAAACCCAAAAAGGCGCGTTATACTGAACACTGAATGCCCGGCCTGTCCTGACTGCCAGTCCCCAACCCCACCAGCAGCTAGAGGATGGGCTCCCATGGTCTTTTCAGCAGGAGGGATGGAGGCGGAGGGGACTCTTTATCTTTTTGCTTCTCTTTGCCCTAGACTGGATCAACCAGGTGTACTGTACCTGCCAGAAAACCACAGCCGGCTCAAGCCTGGCCACACCTACGTCTCTGAGGAGCTCCTGAGTGGGGGCGCAGGCTTTTTCCTGAGTGGGGTGCACCTGAGGGTGGTCATGCAGGCGGAGGTCGGGCTCTGCGCTCCCTCCGAGGCGAGGGCGGTGGGGTCCGGGCTGGGTCGAGCCTCTGCCTGCGCTCAGCACCTTCGCCAGGGCACCTTTGAGGAGGACATGCTGCTCTGGCGTCGCTTCTTGGAGAGCAAGGTGCTGCTTTCCTTCGGCAAGGCCTTCCAGTGCAAGGAGCCCGGCTGGTTCCGCATGGTCTTCTCAGACAGGGCCCGCCGGCTCCGCCTGGGTGAGCTGCCGCCTCCCCGCCCCCTCCTGGCTGTGTCCTGCACCCTCTGACAGCCAGCAGGGCTGGCAGCAGTGCTCCACCCCTTGCTAGGGTGCAGAGGGTGTGCCGGGTGCTGGAGGGGAAATCCCAGGAGGCCGAAGATGCCCCTTCCGGTCACACGCAGGACCCCAACGAGCAGCACAAATGAGGTGGCCTTTGCCTGGTAAGGAGCCACTGTCCCCAACCACAGAAGACAGAGGACGGGCCACTGGCCAGCAGGATTCCCGATTCGGCTTTGCCAGCGCAGAGCTGCTCCTGTCTTCCTCGGTGACAGCAGGAGACGCCTTCCGCCCCCAAGGTCCAGCCTGGGACCAGCTGAGTGCCCCTGCCGTGATGTGCAGCACCAGGGCATCGTGCCAGCCCCGAAGCACAGCCTTCAGCTCCCCGCCCTAGAGGGTGCAACTGGCAGCAAACAACTGTCCCTTCCTCCTGAGGGCCCTTTCTTGCCTGGGTCTTCGTGGCCAGGGCAGTAAGCCAGAAGAACAGCACACAGAGAGCTACAAATGTACCGTTCCAGCGAGGACGGAATCCACAGCCTGCCAGAAATGACCTGTGGTGGGACCCAGGGGTCTCCTCCATGGGAATTTCCCCTCTGTGCTAAGGGGCTCGTCCCTCTCTGGGACTCTGCTTCTCCTGTCAGGGAAGGAGCTACCATGACTGATGTCCCAGCTGTGCCGGGGAGGAGCTGAGCAAGGCTGGGCTTTCCTCCGTGAGGAGCAGGTGAAGGGCGCTGCCTCTTCACCAGGGTGCTTTGCTTCAGAGACAGGATGAGGCCTCCGAGCCCTCAAGCTGTGTGTGCAAAGGATCTTCTCAGGTGCTGATGCTCCTGGCTTCGCAAAGCTGATGCTTACTCAGGCATGGAGGTGCCATGTGCCTGTAGTCCCAGCTTCTCAGGAGGCTGAGGCAGGCGGACCCTTTGAGCCTGAGAGTTTGAGACCAGCTTCACCAGTATAACCAAAAGCCATTCTCAGAAGGAACAAAAGCTGACTCTTGCTTTCTTTGGGAAAATGTCAGTGACATCAATGTTTCCTTTCTGTAGTTATGGTATTTGGCTTAGGTGGATGTTTTGGTTTTGTTTTTCTCTTTTGATCTACCCTTCATCCCTTCATTCTTCCTTCCTGTCCTTTCCGGAGGACCTGTAAGGAGGTGTGAAAAATGTGGGGGAGATGCTCAAGTTTTAAAAAAGTATTGCCATAAAAACCCCATTCGTTGTTTTCTAGAACATTTGAGAGACACTTGCAAGTATGAAACTCCTTCACCCTTTAGTATCCCTTAGTGTACAAGGTGTGAATATTTTTGTTGTTGTTGTTGTTTTCTTTTCCCAGTACCAGGAATCAAACTCACGACCTCGCGCTTGCCAGGCAGGCGCTATGCCGCTGAGCTAAATCCCCAGA